CCAACCTTCCTTCCGAGGAGTGGCTGGTGGGTTTGAACCGCCAGCCCTCTGGTTAGCAGGCAAGTGTCTTAGCCACTATGCTACCAGAGCTCCTCAAACAAGCTATAGCTGAGAATAAAGCCTTCCCTGGACACAAGGGTTTCACATCACCCATATGAGTTCAATTTGGGAGCATTCTGAACTTGGGTTCCTTCAAAGACCAGCATGCAAGGGATTAGATATACAAGACTGCAATGCCTTATTGCAATACAATAACAAAGCAATTTTATATTTGTAAATCCTAGGTGGAAGACTTCAGTTATTGCCTATTTCCCAGTTTCTGACAATAAATTTAGCTCAGTGTTTACAAATGCTTATCCTAATCTTACCTTTTGAACTTGCATGAAGCAACCACTGTAGAACCTCCGCCAGAGAATCAGTATGTAAAATCTCACATAGCTTTGCCAGGATCTGAAAGAGAACATCAGAGTTACCAAGTGAGCAGATAAACGGTGCAAGGCTTATAAGGCTTCCTTAACCTTCTCCAGTATCTTCCTAAATACCGCTCTGTACATGATGCTCTATTAAATCAATGGGGATTTTACCTAGAGAGCCAGATTCCAAAAGTTTAGAGTCTTAGCAAAAGCATAATTTCCAGGGCAAATAATAGGTCAGGTTAGGCAATGTATTGTCCTTCTATTGTTTTGTCTGTTCAGTGCCAAAATCTTCTGGCAGGAGCGATTCACTTTCATTCTTTTAGAGAACTGATCCTTCATATTGTACCTTGGTTCCTTGGACAAAATGTTTGGCCTGTGGCCCAATGGGATAGGAATATAACTCCCTTTAATCAATCAGAATCCATCCCTGAGATTATTTGTATTTTTGCTTATTTTTGGTCTGGAGCTAAGGACTGAAGTGTGAGTGATGGAGATAGCTATACAAAAAATTAATTCAAATGAAAATCAATGATGATAAGCATGAAAATAGAAATACAGAGCATTAATTAAGCACATGTAATGAAGTTTCTAGCTTGAGCCTAAACTATGTCTGCTGTTGGAGTTCAGACATGTCTAGAATTCATACTCTCTCCTGAACTTCAGTTCTATATATCCATCTGCCTACCAGACAGATCCACTTAGATATACTACAGGCACTTTCAACCCCGAATATCCAAAACTGAATCCATCTCTCTCTTTCCAAAACCTTCTCCAACTTGTTCTTCCTTCTTGTTCCTCTTTCTCAGTGAAAAACACAAGCCTACATTCAGCTGTCGATACCAAACCCTGAGATTCACCCTGGACAACTCTCTTGCCCTTTTCTACAACATACTGCCAAACAAGCCCAGTAGAGACCTCACTTATTGTACTTTGCTTTATTGTACTTCACAGATAATTGCATTGTTCACAAATTGAAGGCTTGTGGCAACTCTGCATGGAGCAAGTCTATTGTGCCATTTTTTCAACAACGTGTTCACTTTGTGTCTCTGTGTCACAATGTTTTAAACTTCTTTGTAATACTAATGCATACTTCATAGACTACCAACACCAAACCTAACCCACTGCCATCAAGTCAGTTGACTCACAGAGACCCCCATTGGCTTCCCAAGGTTGTAAATCTTTACAGAAGTAGGTTGCCTCATCTCTCTCCCATGGAGCAGCTAATGGGTTTGAAGCACCAACTTTCTGATTAGCAGCCAAATAAATGCCTGACCCACTATGCCACCCGACTTCCTTTAATAGATGACAGTATAGTGTAAACATAACTTTTACATGCACTGGGAAACCAAAAAATGTGCATGTGAATCACTTTATTGCAATATTTACTTTATCATGGTGGTCTGGAACCAAACACACAGTATCTCCAAAGTATGTCTGTAAATGTTATCTTCTAAATATTCCTCAGTCTACCCATTTCTCTTTATCTCTACTGCCTTTATCCAGGCTAAACCATCATCAATTGTCTCTTCAACTAATGTAACATCCTTTCTGCTAGTCTCATTGTCTGCAGTCTTTTCTTAAATTATTATTAATTAAGGGACTTCCTGTAAGATGAAAGAATAAGCAGACAAGAGACACAGACCCTCTTCAACAAAGAAAAGAAAAACCAATTGACAGAGTTGCAGAAGACAATCCCGGAGCCCTGAGCTTTGAAGGGAACTGAACAGAAGTGGATTAGTCACCAACTAGTGGAAAAACCTGAAAGAAAACAGGACCTAAGAATAGGCTCGGTTTGCCAAGGTTGTCAGGGACATCTGAGAGGCTGACAACAGGAAAGGAGACAGGTAGTGAGTGTATAAGTGCTGTCAACTAGTGAATAGAGAAGCACAGTACCCTGCTTGTGTAGATAACATAGAAAGAAAACGAAAATCGTGGGCAAGTCCTCCAACATATAATCACCAACTAAATATAAACACAAAAACATCACAATGCCTTGGAGACAGCAAAGCATCACAGTCCATACAAAGAAGCATGATAAAGAAGAAGAAACAAGGGACCAGGATACAGACCCAAAACACATCCCTAAGGAAGACACAGCATTGGAACTCCCTGATAAGGAATTCAAAATAATTATATTTAGGTATCTTCAATGAATTGAAAGACAGATAAAAGAAAACACAGAGAAAACCCTAGAACAATTCGAAAGACAATACAAGAACAAAATGACAAAATAAATGAAAAATTAGAAATGATACATATCTATACACAAAAATCCAGAAGATTAATACTAAATTTTCATAAATAGATAAGACATTGAATGGGCAAAGGAGCAGAATTGAATCAATGGAAGACAGAATTAGGGAGATTAAAGGCAAATACCTGCATACTTCTTTGGATAGGGGTAAATCAGAAACAAGATCAAAACAAAATGAAGAAAGCCTAAGGTTCGTGTGTTGTTGTTGTTTGTTAGGTGCTGTCGAGTCGTTTCTGACTCATAATGACCTCTTGCACAGCAGAACGAAACACTGCCCGATCCCGCGCCAGCCCCACAATCCCTGCTATACTTGATCCCATCATCACAGCCACTGTATCAATCCATCTTGTTGAAGGCCTCCCCCTCTTCCGTCGACCCTCCACCATACCAAGCATGACATCCTTCTCTAGGGAATGGTCCCTTCTT